CATACATAACACATGGGTACACAATAGACAAAGTGTTTTAAAAGCAAGAAGCAAAACGAAGGCACAAGGGGTTCCTAGAGCCTGAGACACAAGGTGTGGTAAGAGGTGCCTGAACCAAGTGAGGTTTCACCTATATAAAAAAACTGAAAGAAAACTTGATATATAACAATATGAAAATCTAGGTTCTAAAGGAAATACATCCTGTTTGGTCAATTGTATTTTTTTTTTTTAAACGTTTGTTATGCTTATAGATTAGGGAGGTGTGGCTTTTTCTTTGAAAAATATGAAAGCACACTTCTCATAAATGCAAAAAGCCAAAGCCATTTTTTGGCTTTTTTGAACAGGCTTCTGGGTCCAAAAAAACCCATTTTTGCCTTTTTTTTACCAAGCATTTATATCTGGGTGCTTTTGGATTCTTGAACACACTAAGCCCCAGAAGCGCTTATTCGTAGCCTTATTAGAGAAAAAGAGAAAAAGAATTACAAACTAGTGGGGTGTCAAGATAACACCCAAGAACAGGAACCACTCAACCAAAGAAATTATCAAAATTAAAATCTTGTAATTCAAGCACTTCTAAAAAACTTTCTCCCAAAGAAGTTCCAGTGGTAGTGGTGGAGTGGATAGTTGTCAAGGCACCTAGGCGATGCCGCGGTGGAATTTGAAAGTATAAAATAAATATCCAAACCCCTCTTAAGCTACTTTATTGATTTTATATACTAACCAACATACCTGTATGCTAGCAATAAAATCATTTGATAAAACATAAAGTGCCATAGCTAGCATACAGGCCAACAAAAATGGGGGAGTGCAGCTAAGAAAAGAGAGAAAAATAAGGGGGTAGAGCCCTGTTTTGTTCCCAAAATAAGTTGTCCAAGAGGATGACTTGGACTGTTTTTAAGGGGGTGGAGACCCTGTTTCGTTCAAAAAACGCATTATTAAAAAATAGTGCGAAAAAATACATGAAAGTTTTAGAAACAGTCGCATCTCGTGCCTTTCCATGGGTTGCATGTAACTCTTTATTTACTGGTCTAATAAAATCTTACTCATTTATCAAAAAAAAAAAAGTTTTAGAAACATACCTGGAGGTCTTCGACAACTTGCACTGAACAATCGAAACTTCTCAGCCCTTGGTTTCTCTTCTCAGCTCTTGGTTCAGAACTCAAAGTCTCGAACCCAAAGAAACTTTTGTAGTTTTAATATAAAAGAGAATCACTTTAATAAAAATGGTAACATACAACGGGGTGTATTCTAATAAAATAAAACAAACCAATAAAACATATGCACATTTGAAATATATATATATATATATATATATATAATATGGGTGAGCGCCTAGTACAAAAACACCTTGGCGTTGGGTGAGGCGATCTCTAAAAATCGCCTAGGTCACCTTGAGAACTATGGTGGAGTGGTTGAGGAGTGGGAAGGCAGCACTATGGCAGTATAGGAATGATCTGAAGAAGTTCCAATGGCAGACTAGAGAGATGGAAGTGAGATTTCAATGGGTTCAAAGGACAGCCAACAGAGGGAACAAAGTTTTTGGGCACAATTGTAAGGAAAGTTGTAGGGGGAGATAAAGACTTGCTTTTTTTTTGTGATAAGTAGGTAAAGACTTGCTATCTCTCCCATAAACACTAGTGATTTGTACCTTTAAATCTATATTAATAAAATGTTCAGTTATTGATAAAAAATCAAAAAACGTTCTCCCAAATCTGCTCTGTTGACTTGTGCAAATAGCGTTCTGTTTCTTTCTTTCCAGATTTTCCAACATACAGCAGCGGGGGTGCAGCTCCCTATGATTCTAGGGAGGATGGTAAAGAAAGATTTGTTAACATAGAGAATAATTAGTGGAGGATGGTAAAAATTCCATATCTTTTGTGTGAATGGAAATGGAAGAAAAGCCAAGCCAATTAAAACTGATAAAAAAGGCCAACCCAATTAAAGATGATGCATATCGGCATATGTGGCATACAAGAAAGGTTAAAAGAAAGTATAGCAAACCATCACGGGACTTCTGGTTCCCAACCTGTTTTTTTAATCTATAACAATAAGATTCATTAATTAAGAATAAGATTACAGAGGAGGTCAGCTAAAATATCTTAACTCCCCAAAAATGCCAACATACACCCAAAATAAAAAGAACAATTACAACTGAGTGCAAAAGACAGAACTCCTATTCAACCCTTGCCTAGCTAGGCCATCTGCAAATGAATTTTGCACTTCTCTTTACCCATGTATCGAACTTCAATGTCCTTAGTCAGCGATTTAAATTTCCTTTTTTCATTGCTGTAGTTCCAAAGCCTAGAGTTGTCTTCTTTTAGCCAGCTCACTACAGTCTCAGAGTCTCCTTCTATGATCAATTTATTAACATTCAGATCTTTAGCCCTTTGTTCCCAACCTTAGGAATCCATCTGAATGATGGTTTGCATTTTTCCTGAACCTTAAACTGAACAATCCTCAAAATGAATGATTCGTCTTATAACCACCCCTGTCAAGGGTATCTGCAAATTAGTTTGTCAACCTTTGAGTCCATCTGAACAAGTTGTCATTCTGGATTCCAAATATTAGCCCCTTTTAATATGATGTGCACAGAACCAAGCACTTCCCTGACGAGTCCTATGTCCATCCCATTGTGGATCTCCTCAATCACATCTAGCTTGATACTGGGGGACAAACATGAAGTTAACACTTAACTTCCTTGAGAGAAATTCAGGAGAAGTTTTTGAAGTATATATTGATTTGTTATTTTGCTAAAGAATGTCTTTGTTCCATTTAAGTAGAAAGGAGAAAGAGTGTAATTCACACATCTGCCAAACAAAAGAGGGGAAGGACCCATGCATGGATTGCATTGTCCTTTTTTATTGGTCAACAAGAATATGTAAGTTCAAAGAATGGTTGGGGGGGAGGACTTTCTTTTTAGTGGTGCAATTTAGTCAGGTTGGGTTAAGCATTTTCAAAATTTGAATGGGCCTGCAAAATAGTTGAAGTCTTTCAACTTGGACAACCTGACTTGCACCTCTATATTTTTCCCATTTACTGTTAATAAAAGGGCATCCTTGGTCTAGAGAGTGTATTATAAATGGGTTTATTAGCACCTATGAACATCTTGATTGTGTCTGTCTACAGCTTAATGTTGGGGTATGTCAAATAGATGAACCAGTAAAAGAGAAAAATGCCTGGATGCATCTCAGTATTTATAGTGTGTTTGCATACTTTGCCTTAGCCTCTTTGGGCTCTATATAAATTGTCTTATATCATGAACTCAGCCAGATGAAGCTGAACTGCTTATTCTTTGGGCAGGGTCATGCTTCCCAAATCAACATGCCAATGTTTTATTTCAAGTGATAGTGTCCACTGTCCATAATTAAGCTTCTAATTTGCTACATCTTTGGTATCTAGGCTGAATCTTCTGTTCCATTGTGTCCCTAGATCTGCTAAAATATGATAGAGATTCCATGTATTTGGATGGTGCTTTGGTGGTTTAAGGACCTTGCTCTGTGTATGTTTGTTGTATGCCCATATGTCTTTGGGCTCTTTGTGAGCTTGTGTTTTTGGGCTTTCTTTGCATGTCAATTTTATTTTTTATATATTTTTGGTTATCAATGAGAACTCTTATTATCTTATTATTTACTTTCCTGGTTTTTGATAAGTAATTAAAATTTTATTAATAAAAGGAGAAAGGAGGCCAAGAAGCCTTGAATTACATGGGGTCTGCAACATATTGAACATAAAAACAACAAGAACCATCAGCCTAATCTGCCAAAGCAAAGTCTCCCCTGCCATTACAAAGTCTGAAAATTGGACTCAGTTGAAGTTTGAACTATTTTAATATTGATGCCATGACATGAGAACACTGTTTTTTTTTTTTTTTACTTTTTTCAACTATGCTTATAACCTTTTGAGCCTTGTGCCATCTGCCTTCCAACATCCTATTATGTCTCCTTCCAAATGCACTGGAAGATGGTGAAAGGATTCAGATTCCACAAGATTGTAGTCTGTTTGCTAAAATTTCTTGATGGCCAAGAATCCACCAAGCATACTAGGTTATCAGGAATGGTGTAGTTCCAATGTAGTGGCTTCATAAAGTTCTACCAAACTAGGGTAGATAACATACCCCATTTTTTAAAATCTCTTGAGTCTTGATGGACAAGAATCCACTAAGCATACTAAGTTATCAGGTATGATGCAGTTCCAGTGTATTGGCTTCATGAAGTGCTACCAAACTAGCGTAGAAAACCTACCCCATTTTCACTTTTTTTTGTTTGTGGCTACTTGGTATAGTTGTCGAGGCGACGCCTAGGCGACAAGGCACCCTTGGAGGCTCGCCTCGCCCAGTCGCCAAGCAGTTTTTCATACTGTGTAATAAAATACTTCTTCTTCTTCTAATTCTTCTTCTTCTTCCACCTTTTCTTTTCTTCTTTTCCTATAACAAAAATAGGGGTTCAGCCCCTATATTTTTTGAACTTAAAATTTTGTCTAATCAACACATTTCTTTTCTTTTCTTCCACCTTTTCTTTTCTTCTTTTCCTATAACAAAAATAGGGGTCCGGCCTCTATATTTTTAGAATTTCTTTCCTTTCTTCTTTTTCTTCTCATAAATATGTTGATTTTCTAGACTTAAACATGAAGTTTATAATTTTCTTATGAAAATTATGGATAGTTATTAAAGAAAGTTGGTTATGGAACCTAGGGAAATACCCTAGGATATGTAATTTTTACTTAAAAAAATCCATCGCCTAGGCGACTAGCCTTGCCTTGGCGCCTTGAAAACTATGGTACTTACTAGTGGTTCTGCTTGATCCTCTCAAATCAAGTTAACTCTTTCGACCAAGCTTCAGAGATAATATGCAAGGTTTTGCTTTTAGATTGTTCTGAAAAACAAAGAGGAGTCTGGGTCTGTATCAATTGTGCATCTGAGCTAAAAAAAGGTTTTGCTTTTTTGTAAAATTAATTTAACCTAGCTATGTTTGTTAGTTACTGACTGCTTAATTCTTAAATAGGTAATGATTTCGGCAAAGGAAGAGCCAGATGCTTCAGTGCCTCCTGCAATGGATGCTCTGCTGAGAGTTCATAAGCGCATTGTTGATGGTTTAGATGGTGATTTTTCTTGTCCTCCAAGTTCTGGTGGCACAATTTCATCAAGGCTACTAGTTGCAGCTTCACAAGCTGGAAGTTTGATTGGAAGGCAGGGAGCAACCATTAAATCTGTTCAAGAAGAATCAAATTGTGTCATTCGAGTTCTTGGACCAGGTACTATTCAATTCAATCCCTAACATGTACATCTTGAGCTAGATCATTTTTTCTTCACATTCTCTTTTAAATTTTCCTTAATCTATATTGCTTCCCTTTCCCTCGATAAGACTAACAAAGAATTGTCATAGGAGATCTGAAATGCACAAACAGGAAGGATTTGGGCAAATGCCTATTTCATTACAAGGTCAATAATGTCCAATCCTTCAAAAATCTATTTTGGCCACAGATTTTGCAGCCTCATTAATTCATTTCAGAGTAAAAATAGGCCATTACTCAATGTTGGTCCTGGACCAGGGGTAAACTGGATACAACCATAACCTTTGTCTCTCCCCCCTCTCCCCCCTGTCTTTTACACAAAGTGAATACTCTCAGAAATTATCAAAAAAGAAAAAAAAGACTGCTCTCAGACTTGAACCTGCATTCGTATACTTGTAGGACTTAGATTTTACCATTACACCAAGAAGCCCAAAATGGCTCCTAATTCATTTCTGAGAGTTGCTCAGAATAAGGGGAAAAATAACAGATTCTTTAATTGTCTCAGGAGTGCCTGGGTTATGCAGGGAACATCTATGTCTTCTTTGGCCATTCAACAGTTACACCCAATTGGTATGGCTTGTTGCCAGAACCTTGTGCATTATTGAGAGAAGAAAATCCTTACCCCTATTCATTAAATTCTGCATGTGCGTGGGAGTATGCATATTTTCTTAAACTGCCATCAAATTGCATAGCTGTTTTGAAATACAGAACATCTACCAGTTGTTGCACTACAAGATGACAGAGTGGTTGAGATACAAGGGGAACCTGCTGGGGTGCACAAAGCCGTTGAGCTCATTGCTTCTCATCTCAGGAAGTTTTTAGTTGATCACAGTGTAATTCCAGTTTTTGAAATACATGTAAGTTTATTCTCATCCTTATTTTTTGGAGAATAGCATCTTAAAGGTCATTTTGACCCATGGAGATTACATAACAAGGACATGCAATTAAATAAAGTGATTTGGTTTTGAATAGTTATTGGACTTTCCCCTTGCAGATGCAAATGCCAAATCCCCAAATGGAACAGAACATGCCACCACATCAGTCTTGGGGCCCCCCACCACAAGGGCTACCCCCAAATGTTGGTGGTGGTCCTGGCTTTGGGACTATTCCTCAACACATGCCACCCCCACGGCAATACGATAATTATTATCCATCAGCTGACCTGCCACCTTTGGAAAAACAACCTCACCAGGCTCTCTCTGCATATGGAAGAGAGGCTCCTTTGGGAGTTCATTCTTCAACTAATGTGCAGCATCCATCACCAATGATCACTCAGGTACATTTTTTTTTCTTGATGTTGTTTTCTTTATGGATGAAACTCAATCTATAAATCTATGAAGAGAATAAATTTAAAGATAATGAATTTGGTGTTTGAAAGTGCTTTATTTAGAAAACTGTTCCAAAATTTGATCTACCAAAGATGAGAACATTCACAGCCTGACTTGGATCATTCTCATTCAAGGCTATAAACAAATAGAAGAATTGACGTTTCAACTTCTGCCATATTGAACATAGTCTACAGAATAATTTGATATTAAAGCTATTTTTTCTTAATGTTTGCAGGTCACACAGCACATGCAAATTCCACTATCCTATGCTGATGCTGTAATTGGGACTGCTGGTGCAAATATAAGCTATATCCGGCGTTCCAGTGGGGCAACCATTACAATACAGGAAACAAGGGGTGTGCCTGGGGAAATGACTGTCGAGATCAATGGAACTGCTTCTCAAGTTCAGACAGCTCAACAGTTGATACAGGCATGTTTATGTTGTCAACAAGATTTTTTTTTCTCTTCATTGATCTATCTATCTGACTATAACACCAAAGTTGTTTCATCTTTCTATGTTCCTTTAGCTTGAGTTAATTGGGATTTGGGCATTGTAGTTGCACGAGTAATGGCATAAATTTTGGAAGTTATCTTTCAATTACTCCGTTTTGCATATTTGCATGACACCCATATGGTCTCTGTGATGCATGGATGGGGGAATGCATGTTGCCTTGTGTTTCTACTGCTCTTCAAGCATATGACTACATTTTGTTGGATTGTCTGCTAATAACTAATATTCTTGGTTTGCAGAATTTCATGGCCGAAGCTGCAGGCCCTACACAGAACTCAGTTGGTGGGTCTACTGACCAAGGCTATAATGCTTTTCCAACCTACGGTACCATGTACGCATCTCCCCCATCCAATAATGCAGGGCAAACTGCTGGAGTCTATGACTCAGCCTATGGCACAAACTATGGGTATTAGGTATGCAAAAAGACCTGATCATTACTGAGACAATACTAAGCTTAGATCGGACTTGCTTGGTCACAAGGACCAGAAAATTGTAGGGAGGTAGTTGTACCATCGAAATGTTGCTCTGTGGCTGTCTGCTTTAGCATTAGGAAAAGTTACCATTTAGGTTTCATTTGTACAATAGGCGAACATTGGTCATACTTTTGGTCCATTGTTCTTCTTTCACTCATGTAGCTGCTCTCACATTTTGGTTATTCTGAGTATCTAACCTTGATTCTTGTGTATTGATTCCCTTTCGAGTGATGCCATTCCTTTTTTCTTGTCATTCTTGCCCCTTTCTTTTTCTGGGAAACGTACCTGAAAGCAATGTTTTGAAAATTGTAATCGAATTGGAAATCGTAGAGAAAATTGAATCGAATCGTTAATGTATCATTACGTAAGATTATTTGCAATTTTTACAAACATGTCAAAAAAACGTAAATATAGATATATTAGAAAAGGCTAAATATAGGGTTAAATACTTAAAGTACCTCTATGCTTTAGCAAATCGACAGTAATATCCTTAAATTTTCTGACAATGGACAAAATCTTCTGTTAATATGTCGTTACAATCCGTTAACATGTGATGTCAGATGATTTATATATATATTTTTTAAAATATCAGTTTTACCTTTTTATGGTTGAAAATGTTTATTTTATGTTTTTACTCTTCATTATTCTTCAAATTTTCAAAACATTTCTCCACCCAAAACATATTTACAAAGCTGTAATCATCATCAGCAGCTATAATTCCCTTTTTCAAAATATTGAAGTTGAAAGCATTCCTTTAAAACAAAGCCAAGTATCTCAATTTCTTCTACGCCATGGATCAGCCATGATAATCTACTATAATCTTTTTTTTTTCACAAGAAATATTCTGATATTTTTACCAGCCAATAAAGAAGGCTCAACTATTATGCTCCATGTACAATCAGGTCTCTCAAAGTTCATTTTCCCTCTAAAAAGAGAGATTTCACCAAAAGTTTTCTTGGTCTTATTTCCAAACAATTTCATCCCTTGACCTAAAACCACTACAGCACTAATGATACAGTAGAATTAGTCAAAGATTGTTTCTAATTTGTCAACAAGCACACTAAGAAAGACAATTCCACCCCAATCATCCTTCTCAAATAGGGTCCTTGATTTGTCCCCAAACCTTGAATTCTTTGAAAAACAAACTTGTCAAATCAGTTACAAAACTGCCAACAATCTATCTCTTATGATTCCTTATATTTGTTGCATATTTCTTTCTATAAGATTGAAGGTGAAAGAGAAACAATAGAACCTGATATCTTTTTTTTGAAAAGAAGCCGACAGGCAATTTCATTCAACTAACTCAATGAAACATTTGATAGTTGATACAAGGATGTTAGAAAGAAAAGATGGAATAGAGGACCAAGTAAATGGTCTATACAATATTAATCCTTTACATGCTACAGCATGAGCAGCACCATTTGAAGCTGGCACAGTGGGTGGTGTAGGTTACCCACCAACAAAAGTTGAGCAATATTATAAGCATCACCTTCAATACCAATCTCTTGTAAAAAGACCGTGAAGGCTATTGCCTCTAGCCCTCTACCGAATCCAAGTAAGAAGCATGAATGGGCAAAGCTCGGGCTAGCAACATGGTACCAGTATGATCTTGAATCACTATGGCCACTTTAGTCGTTGAACTCGTTTTGGCTACATCTACATTAATCTTCACAAAACCACAAGGTGGTTTGCTCCACCTAATATCAGTGCCCACGTCCCCTGCTTCTGCTTGAATGATGTCTGTTAGACCCACTTTTTTCTCCATGCATCTTGAACATCTATCATCTCCATGCGCTCAGATTCTTCAGGCTCCTTGGTGGTTCTCTTCTGTCGTAACTCGTAAGACCCTCTTTAGTTCTCTCTCTCTCTCTCTCTCTCTCTCTCTCTTGCTTTCCTTTTATTTATTTAATTTTCTTCTTTGTATTAGTAAACAACATGGTTTTCAAAATCAGACTGGACTGGAAAATGACCGGTTCCGTTTTTCCCCAAAACCATTCATATTAGTCAGCAAACCATTGACCTGGGAGGTTAACCATTTGAATGGTTTTGACTGTTTTTAATTTTTTTATTTTTTGTCAGAAAAGACAGACCATTCGACCTGGGAACCGGACCCTTGATCGGTTGATTCTCCAGGTCAGTTTTAAAAACTAAACAAAGACAGTTCCCTCAAATTTCTCTTTGTAACCAGTCTCTTCTACTTGAAATATCTCCATCTCATTCCCCAACCCTCTCCCTTTCTATAACTCTCCTTTTATTCCTCTATAATTTTCCTGTTGGTTCCTGATGATGCGCGATCTGGAAGCTCCTAGCTGGAGAATTGCCTGGACGTACTCGTGTGATGAGCTAGATCAATCTGCAAAATAGTGCTCAGAGGGACCGGGGTCGAAGACCGAGTGAGGTCGCTCCGATGCTTAAGTTAGTAATCTGTGTGTTTGTGAGCTAAGTATGAATGGTAGAGAGCTTGAATGTGAGTAATCACACGTACCTTCGCCTTGAGGATCGATGCCCTTATATAGTTGAGTAGTCGTGAACCTTACGAAAAGGCTCTAGGGTCTCCGGGCTAAATAGATAAGACTCGTTCCGTTCCCGAAGGAGAGCAATGCACCAGTTGATAAGGTTTATCCCTTTCCTCTGATTCGGGCGGAGTGAGGATGAGCCCTGTTTTTAGACGTCGTGATCCTGGGAAATTCGGAGTCCGTTAGGGAAGCTTCTGGAGTCGATTACGTGGCGCTTCGGTTCTTTGGCCCCAAACTGATACTTTGGTTTTTTGGCCCCGAACTAAATTGGGTACCGAGGTGCCTTCATGCCGAGATGGCTCTACGCCGAGGTGACCAAATACCCGAGCTCTAACTTTTGTTGACTGGGCTCTCCTTGCTGAGTTGTCATCATTCGAGCAGATCGCGTCCACATGACCTCTACTTACTAGGTTGTGCCAAATCACCCTCCATCAATTGCCCCCCACTCCTCGTGCCAGGGGTTTTGACCCGGTGCGGGGAGTTCATGACGAGCCCAGGTGGATTTGGCACGAAGTCTAGGTGACATGGAGGGTGGACCGTTGATCGGACCTATTCAACCATTCGGCTCAACCAGGAAGTGACCCAGATCGCGTCTTGACTATGCGCGGATGTCACACCGTTTATAAACTCCGCATATGTCAAAGGACGTGCTCAACCGATTTCGTCCTCGGGTGGCGTGCAACCAGTTTTCTTGGGAGCTGTCAGATAACACAAATCACAACCGTTGATTGCTGGATGTGGTGGATTATAAATAGGGGCCGAAGGGCCCATTATCCTCGCCAAAAATTGTGTAACTAAGCTTTCTTGAGATCGCGTCAGAGTCCTTCAGCTCACCATTCTCTCCCCTTGTGTCCGAGGTCGTTACCGCCTTCTTTGGTGAGTTTGTCTTCTTGTGCTGGTTGTCCCCTTCTTCCTTTTTCTTTTTCTTTCTCCTGTCCAATATGTCTAGCGTTAGCACAAATAGGCTACTTAGTGATTTTAGAGAGCTCGGGGGTGTTGAGGTACGGTCTTTAGCTCCCACTAGTGAGGTTAGCTCTTCGCTAAAGAGCTCCTCTTTGAACCTTTCAGGAGAAATGCCTTTACCCGACGTTGGGCTAGCTCGGTTTGAGGAACCCGAATCTTAGGCCGAGCGGCCGACCTCCGGAGAGGGGGTCTCGTCTTCTACTCGAGGTCGGGATCCGAACAACTTCGGTCCTTCCACGATGACCTTAGACAAGTTGTTGTCCTTAATAGCTCATTATCGTCTACTTGATACTCTTGTCTTCAGCATTCCTTTGGGTCAGTACCCTTGGGTTCATGACCATTATGAGCTCACGGTCTTTGAGGAGCAGCTCGTACCTGGGCTGCGCTTCCCGCTCCACCCTTTCATCATAGAAATTATTAAGTTTTTTAACGTCACTATCGATCAGGTTCACCCGAACTCTATCTATACTATTGTTGGTATGATCTCACTCTTCCACGAGTATAACCGACCTCTCTCCCTAGATACCTTTAGCTCAATTTGTTCCATTAAGAAAAATTCTTCTTGTCTGCTTGGCAACACCCGACAAAGTTACTATATCTCACCTCGCCCCGGGTTCAAGGTCTTGTTCAGTAACCCGAACAAGGTATTGGCTTGGAAGAAAAAGGTACTTTTTTGTTCAGAACCCCGAAGGATGGCCATTCCTGACTCATTGGCGAGTGGCCATTAAGGACCCTGGGGTGAGGTTGGATGCAGAGACCAGGGCGGTCATCCATTCTTGGAGGGACCATGGCCTTGAGATGGAAGATTTCCTGGCCGAGGAGAAGCTTGTGCGAGCTGGGCTGAGTCCTCCTGGTAGACCTCTACCTCGACACACACATTACTTCTCTCTTTTTCTCTTATTTGCGCTTACTTCAGTTCGTAACTGACTAGAAAAAATTCTCTTTTTCTTCTCTTTTGTAGGAGCTATGACGGGTGTTGACGTTGTTAACCTCTTGAAGAGTGTTTAGAAGGGGAAGAGAAAGGCCTCGAGAAGATCCTGTCGAGAGGAGGCTACCTCTTCAATTCTTGTCGAACCCGAGGTTGTGGCACCAGAGCCAACCACTACCGAGCTCCTAGGGGAGGATGTTCATCCCCATCCTCCGATTGTTGACCTGGAAGAAGATCAGGGTGAGGAGACTCCACCCCGTGAGCCCGAAGGTACTTCAGTGCCCGAGCCTCAACCCCCTTCAGCAAAGGAAAGCATAATGACTCCGAAGCTCGGGCTCCTTAAAAGCAAAGACACAGTGTTTCCTACGGAGGTCGCGAAGTGGGCTGACATGCCAACAAGTCAGCTCGGAGGAAGAGCAACCAGCTATTGCATGGTGGTAAGTAACCTACCTCTTCGTTTATTTTCTTATCCTTTTTTTCAATGATACTTACACTTTCTTTCTTTTTTAGGTGAACTTTGCTATCCACTCGTTAGTCTATCAATCTGAGATCCGCTTGAAGCAAGCTCAGGAGGCCGAAGAGAACGCTTGAAAGCTTTACCGTGAGCTGGACTTAGCTCGGGGTGAAATTCTTAGGGCAAAAAAGGGAGCTCGAAGCCAGGAAGAGCTAATTCTACTACTAACGGAGGAGAAGAAGAAGTTCAAGGGGGAGAAGGATGCTCTCCACCGGGAGAACAAAAACCTTGAGGCAATGATCAAGGAGCGCATCGAAATCTTCGACACCGCAATTCAGGAGGCGAGGATGCAGGAAAGAGATCGTGTCGTCAAGGAGTTCACGGAGTTCCTC